TGTATATGTATATTTATATATCTATATATATAATATATATGCTGATACGTCGTTTCTGTTCAGATTCCTGTGTGCATTGTACTCAATGAATCTTTCGGACTCATACTATTTTTTCTGCCGGCCTATAGGAGAAGAAGGACAAGGAATTGATCCTCCGCACTAAGGCGATGCGGGAGAAGGAGAGTTTGTCCAAGAATTATAGACTGACATGCCTACGCATCCGATTGGCTGATGGCGCAATACTCGAGGTAGGTATCCATGTACTTACAGGGTTTAAGCATCACCTGTGTATAGTCTCTCTGTGTGTGACTGACAAGCGTGATTTGGTTGATGACCTTATCACGAACCATTCTTCCGAGATCGTCTCAGTTGTCATAGGTGGTGTACTAGTATATCGAGTACGACTGGAGCGAAGTGTGTGGGTGTGAAATGCCGTAGCGTGACTGCCAGATCATGTATGCTCGCGGTACGTCACAGCAGAGGAGTATATACTATGAGGGTGATGCTGTGCCAAATCGGAATAGATGTGTCTGTGATTATAAGTATGTGTGAATATGTCTCATGGCGTATGCATATTCAGCAAACTATAGACTGTGCTTTCGTCGGCTGGCGCGTAGGGCACGAGCGAAACCTTCACTGAGGCAGCATCACAACGCATGTGCATGCTTGTGTGTTGCTTATTCCTGTTGTCCGATACGTTTGTGTGCTTGTGTGTAACACATCCCCTATGCTGATGTGTGATGTGAGAGGGATATACCTCAGTGTATGTGTCTATTGATTGATTGCGAGGTGTTATCTTTTCATATGTACATTTATAGACATTGTCTGACATGCTCGTGTGTATGTATGTATATCCGTCTGCGTATTCTGATGGTTACATCAGGTTAGAGCGCCTACAACTGATTCCAGAACACGCGTACTTCATTTAATCCCTCAAGCCTGAAATATCCGCCTTTGTATCATGCCCGAATATCCGAGACCTTCATGATATCCAATACATTCATGGTCTGTAACTCCGACCTTCCTTCCTCTCCTTTAAAACACTAAACCCTAAACCCTAAACTTTCCTTAGGGCACCTTCAGACCCCGTGAAACCATCCTCCGTGTCCTGAACTTCATTAAATACGCCATGGTTGAGCCTGTCCCGCCTTTTCAATTGCACTTGCCTTCGCGCGATACTGGGACCACCCTGGACGAGAGGCCAGATGAACTGCTGTGCGACTTAGGGCTGGTATGTTTATATATTTATTACTGTAATCGCGGCTGAAACACCATGTTACCTTTAACAAGGTTTTGTGTCTGACATGTTCTCATTCCAATGTCGATATACTAATCAGAAACCAAAATTTCAGAATTTGTAAAGTTTAGCGTAGCTTCCTAAAAATACATTAGGATTGAAAACTTCTAAAAAAATCAAATTGTATCCTTCATTATTACAAAGCTTCCAGTCCCTCGCCGCTCCCGCGACAGGTTTATTGTTTGTATCTGTATCACATGCTTGATCATATATTTGTAGCTGTAGTTGCTAGACATTCAATAGATTCAGTAGACGTGACTATGGTGGTAGCCTATATATATGCGTAGTTGTAGTTTGTATGAAAATACTAGATTGAGTGGACATGACTATGGTGGTAGCTTATATATATATGTATATGTAGTTGTAGTTTGTATACATATAGTAGATTGAGTGGACGTGGCTATTGTAGTAGCCTATATGGACATTAAATTATACCGTTCTAATCGTCATAGCCTGTCCCTAAATCGAAACGGTCGAGAGGCCTCAGGAGCTATTGTGCGACTTTTGGATTATATCTTTGTATTGAACGGCTAAGTTTGTACATATACCAACGGCTAAATATGTACAAATATAACAAGCATACGGCTATCTGTATGTCTACAGTTGAACCTGGTGCTATACCATCAGATGCTTCTGCATTTAATA